TCCAGTAGCTCCTGTGCTAGCAAACTAGCTATAATTAGATTAGCAGCCTGCTCGGTGCTGGTGACAGCCTGTGCCTCAGAGAGCATGTGCTGGACTCTGCATGTGCCTCATCCTCATTGGCTGGCATTGCTGCTCACCCGTTTGATAGGTTTCCACAGTAATCTTTATGCTGCATTAGAGACGTAGATACAGAGGCACTGTGCTGTGTTCTTGCAGAACATAGGCAAGGTGCTTGGTCGTTTATACTAAAGAAGGAATACGACCCGCAGAGCAGGTGTTCTTTGTTGCAAAGACTCGGTGGATAAGGACCTTGCAGCTAGCTGCAGGGGGAGGTCAGTGAAGGAGTCTCAGTTACGGTAATTACTTGAGTCTTTCTCTCTTATGAGAAACACAGCCATGCATGAAATGAAGCGTGCTCATAGTGTCATCTGTCTCCTTTGCTCTTGCTTTGTTGACGCTGTGTGTACCCCTGTGTTTCATACTAACACACATTCTCATAGACCGCTTGCCTGGTAAACAGCTCCCCTGTTCAGGAAGGAGCATTGTTTTCACCTGAATGCAAGGGTGCATGTGCTTGGGAGTGATTCTTATTGGTTCTCCTCTGTTTGGAAAAGCCGATGTTGCTTCCATCGAGGTGTCTTTGTTTGTGCATGTCAGGACTGTTGCCTTCGCTTTGAGTCCTGACTCCTGAATAATTCGAAATTAAGGAGAATTTAGCGATCGTACTTTAATTAGCAGAAGGCAGAAGGCTCCTGATTTGTCATCTGGCTTTAAGCTTAAGTAGTAATGTGCTATTGTTTCTTCACAGCTGTGTGGAGCCTTCATTTTGCATGGCTTTCTTTGTCTTACCTTTTGTAGTTTTAATGAAGCTTCTTTAGTACAGGGAGTGTTAGCAGATTACATTCTGTGAAATAGACACATATAGGTATTTATCAACCACGCCTGAGGAAGTATTTGACTCCAGGCTTTGTTTAAAGGATAACACTCTTGCAGTTGAAATGCCATAGTAGAGAGATGAGTTCTTACCACTCTGATTGCTGCTCAACATTTTTGTTTCAGTTAAGGATTCCCTGGTTTGTTTTCCAGACACAGCAATAAAGAATCTGAAATTCTGTAATGATTGAAAAAAGAATTAGCAAGACCAAGGCTCTAAAAATCCTCAAAACCATGTGGCTCTGTTGTGGGTCCAGAGCCCCTGCTTCCTTTTGAGTTCTGAAACTTGAAAACTGATGTCCTTCCATATCAGACTGCGACTCTACAGAAACTTGTGTCCTGAGTCACCAGTCACAGGGCTGGCCAGCTGCCACCATGCGTCTGCTCTCAGCAGAAAGTCAGGCAGATTCTGAAAACTGTCAGGGATTGTTTCCTGCTCCTGAAAAGGCAAGGTTGCAATTTATATAGTCTGTACCAATAATTGCCTTCATCCAGATCTGTATCCTGCTTCGCAGGTCAGTATGTAGTCTTTGGCAGGGGAACCCTTCTGGTTAGTAACTAAACCTCACCACATGCCCTTACTCCTAGATCTGTCTGAGAGATAATAAATTATCCAGTGTCGGCATTTGTTTAGTTAATAGTTCCAAGAGGAAAGTAGAAGCATTGTGGAAGTTCAGTGGATGGTAATGGAATGATGCAGTTAGATAGCCTTTAAGCAGAGACATACTGCAGCTCTGTGCCTTGAGACAATGGGGGCAATGTTTTCAGCTTTGAGACACCATGGGTGGTGACACCCCTGGTACAGACCCCATCAATCTCATGTGGACAGTGCCTACCCTGGTTCACTCCTGGATGTTTCAGAGAGGGCAGCTTCAGCCAGGATGGTTTGGTTTTTCTTCCAAAGTCCACGTACCACTTCTGTCTCCCCATCATTCTTGACCTGACATTCTCCTTATTACAGACATACAGAACCTTTTTGCCTTTTAAAACTTAGGCTTGGTCATCTGAAGGGGGATACACTGACGCAGCTCTACAATAGCCTCATTTAGATATGTTTGTATATATGAAAGTATTATTTATTTGCAGGGTTGGGATCGAACCCAGGGCCTAGCACATGCTAGGCAGGTGGTCTATCACTGAGCTGTATCCCCTGTCCTTCCCTCTTCGTCTCCGGGAATACTCTCTACCTTTTTAAGGAGGTTGCCTTAAAGATGGATTGTTGTTTTCTTTATTTACTACCAAAGCACTCTCCCCTGTAAATCTGCAGAGTGCCTTCTGTGAGCTGCATCCAAGTTTTAGATGTTACCGTAAAAGCTGGGAAGTAGCAGTGTCTGTTCTCAGGGTCTGTGGCTGGCTCTTCAAGAATCAACATATCTTAAGGAATTTCTTAAATCCTTAAGTATAACGTGTATATTGTGCATTGTGCCTGCTGATGGCCAATGATGCCAGTTAACATATACTAAAAGGATATTTTAATAGCAGAACTAAAAGAAGTTCATGTTTTTGCAAAGTAACACAACATACACTTTTATCTTCAACTTTATTACTTAACTTTTTTGTTCTTAATACGTTAGGTTTTAAACACATTAAAATTTTGTTCATTCTCCTTCTAATTCTGTAGCTCATTGAAAGAAAAGTAATAATTCTGACCAATCAAAAATAAGTATATCAGTGTGAACATGAAATATAGTATTTTAAGAATTAAAGCATTTTCAGGGTGCTGGGGCATAGCTCAGTTGGTAGCATACTTGGGTATTATGCAAGAGGCCCTGGGTCCAATTCCTAGTATCTCAGAACCAAAATAGATAAAACATTTTCAGTATTGATACTTTGTCTCTTTCTTCTGGAGGCTTTTAATGACAGATGTAGGAACCAGTTTAAATGTAGAAAGCACAGAATACCATATACCACAAAACAGCAGGGCTGAACAGGGTCTGAAAAAATAGTTTTCCAAAAGAAGAGCAATGGGAAGTGTAGGCTGCTGGTCACAGGAGTTCCAGAGTAGGACAGTCGGTGGCTGGTGCCTGGCCACTTGGGTGCCTGTTATTCCAAAAGAATGGGGAGATGCCACTTGCAGTTGATAACTGTTTCAGGGTTCACCCTTTTGAAGTTGCCTGGATCTGAAAAAAAATTAAATAGGTTTATTCTTCTTTCCATATTTTACTCTGCAGTAAATGGCATTTACCATGAGCTAGACTCCGTTAAGTGTTTTATAGAAAAACACAAAAAGCCTAGTCCCTTCCAGCATGAAGTGTTTTCTGAGGAACCGGGTCCTTAGGAAGGAGGGAAGAGGGCCTTGGAGACAGGAGAGATGCAGCTGGACCAGCCTTCCTCCTTTCAACAGCACGTCTGCCACTCAGGCCAGGAAGGCATGTGTGTGGCCTGGGATCTGTTGTGTGTTTTAAGTATCATCGTGTCTTATTTTAGATGCATGAACAGTGTGAACTATCATTTGCTCTCTTCCTCTGTTAAATTGTTGAAGAATACAGATGCAGTTGCTGGAAAAAGTGTTATTGTTGATATGTCTGCATCATGGTAGACTTGACATTCTTAAGAATGTAGCCACTAATTTGAAATTTATCTAGGAACAATCACAAAACACTTTTATGACTGTTGTACTTTGAGTAATCTGGTGATTAATTTTGAATTTGTTCACATTGCCACAAAATACCCTTTCTGCTTTTGGGTGCCAGTAGACTCTTAATTTGACATTTATTTTCTAGATACTCAATTAAAGACAAGCTTGTAAAACCTGGCCTTGAACTGTAGCACTCCATTTCACCTTGCCATGACTAAGGCATCTGCTTTTTCAGTACTCGTAAAAAATAATTTCTGAAAATGCCATGTACTTTAAATTTAGATGTCCTTTAAGTCTTGATGAATTGGTAAAGGAGGGACACTTTAAAGGCCAAGTATTTTCGCTATATCTTACTATGTCTAAAATATCTACATGAAAATGGGTATTGTGTTTACCTTCCCTGTGGCCTTCAGCCAGAGAACATCTAACCCCTCCTTAGTGCCTTCCCCAACTAGCATTTATGCTTTCTTTTAGACTCTTTAAGGCAGCAGCCTCCACTTTCCACTATCGTAGCACCCAACAGGCTGAGTTTACAAGACTGTCCCTCATTGCCACTGACCTGGGCAGCAGCAGCACTCTGGCATGATGACCTGGGAAAGCCACTTTCTTCTTAGGCCTGGTGTGTCTTATTGCTCCTTCCCAACCTGCCTTCTACGTGAATATTTGCCAAGGTTCTACCTTTATCAACTTCCTGTCTGTGCATACTTACACTGGCCACTCATCTGCCGCCTCACATCCCCTCTCCTTGCACAGCTAGGCTAGGTGACCTCAGGGCCTTCCTTGGCTTGGCTTTTCCTTCTGCCTAGAACAGGGTCTCCAGGGTCTTCTGGCATGTTCCCATAGGGCTTTGATCAGTGGTCACATCTCATCAGGACTTTCTGAGAGAGTGGCTATTTTTTGTCTTGCTTTTCTTCCCCAATCACTCCTCTTTGGGTTGTAAATTCTAACAAATAAGATGTTTGTCTTAAACCCCCAAAGCCTTGAACTCCTAGAAAATGTTCAATCAGTGCTTGCTGAATGAGTTAATAAGTGACTGCAAAATGAACAAACAAATTACTTACAGCAGGGAAGTCCTGTGGCAACCAGGATCTCTGCTCCAGCTTGCTGAGTGGTTCTTACCCAGGCTCTCCCTTGAGTGGGCAGGGTCTCCTGCTCTGTGGATGGTGAGCACCAGTCAAACTGAGGTTGTTTATGTGATTTCTTTATCCTCACTTTACATGGTTCTTTTTGTGGGATTGTTATTGTGGTTAAATTCTCTTCTAAAAACAAAATAAAAGCAAGAGTTGAAATGTAGAGGTGCCTTATAAATAAAATATACAAAAATTAGTGCATCTGTGTTACTTACATGTCTGCTATTTAATATTTAAATATATATTGGCTAATTATTAATGGAATTACCATTTTATGATGGATGCTAAATACATTTATTTATCTCCCTATTTTTGCCAAATAAAAAACACCAGTAGCCTTCTCTTCCTGTGTTTTTCAGATATTTCCTGCTGCAGAGGGGATTTTAAGCAAGGAAGGCTTTCCTTGGCTTCTGCCTGCAATCTGTAAAACACTCATTGCCTTTTCGGTAAGCGGATGGCTTTGCTTTGATCCATTCTAAGCAGAAGCTATTGATTGTCTCTGAAACCTGTGTCATTATTATATTAAGACAAGGAGCCTAGGGTTTCAAGTATTTTGCTCTCAGCCATTAAATAAACAAATAAGCCCCACCAAGGTTTCTCATTTCTTGTCTGCATATGTGCTAATAATTACAATTGTTATGCACAGTAGTACTTACCACTCACCTTCCAGGTATTTAAAAGACTCCATTTGTGTGCCTGGATTTGGAGAAAACATAACAAGTGAGCACCTTTGCTCTCTGAATGAGAAGTAGAATTGTCTGAGATTGGGCATGAGATGATGAGGTGGATCCTGGGAGCTGATGTAGGGAGCTTTGCTGATGGCCATCCTGAGAATCAGAGTGGTGAGGACAGAGTCTGAATTCCAGCTCAGAGACTGAGACAGAGAGGACCAGATAGATGGTGTAGGTGAACCAAATCTTCAGCCCTGCTTTCTTCTTGCTATGTAAGGATAGCAGTCAATTACCTTCCTGGGCCAAGTAATTATATGGCACTTTATCAGAGCTACTGAGCTAGATTTTGTGTTTGTATGGTTAGAAAGAGTCATCTGTGTGGCACATCCACGTATCAGCTGGGCTATAGGCAACAGATTTTAGCCCTGCCTCTGGTTAATTCTAATAGGGTTAGATCAGTCTGTAAGAATTATTTCAAGTTGTTTTTATAACCATTTGCAGTTTTCTCATAAATGGCATGCAAACTTTTTTTAAGTGCTGCAAAAGTTTTCTCTTACCCTTGGCTTTTAACTACCAATTTCTTGTTGCATCTCTGCATCATTGATCTTTGTTCTTGCATAAGTACATGTATTATGGGTTAGCAGCACGTATGTAGTCACATCACTAGCATTTTTCATTGTTCTCAACAGTGCATTTAGGACGACATTGTTTAGAGTAGACACTGGGTGTTTGAAATAATCCTTGTTCATAGAAACTAAAAAGAGAGGTGAAATCATGAGGTAATAGGATATAAAATGATCTTTTTAGGTTCTTTTCTTCATTTTCATTAGTTTAATTATTCTAGAACATGAGAACCCCTGAGTATGTGACCTAAGACATTTTAAAAGAGATGAGGGCACCAGTTACTGAGAGGCCAGCCTGAGGCTGCAATTTCAGAAAACAGGCTTTAAAGGCCCCTTTGTTTTGAGTTTCTTGCTATCTTAGTCAAATTTAAGTAACTGATAAAGTCAATTTCTCCTTGAAAAGGTAACTTTTAAAAAACTTCTGAAGGGTAGATTGTAATTCTTTCATATTGTGCCTACTAGATGCTTGAGAAATCATTGGGAGTGAACATAGCCCTTGCATACCTTTTGGTGTTAAGTGGTCCTGACTCAAAAGTCATGCTAGTTTTTCCTCAGATAGCCTTTTTTCTTTGGATTCAAAGTTTCCTCCATAAAGAGCCCCTGTGTTCCCTGCTGGTGACTCAGCTTCCTTTCACACCGGCACCTCTGGCTTTTCTCTTCCCAGAACAGCTCTTTGCCAAGAGAGTGACTCAGAGCTCAGGTTCCTCAGCACAGTCAGGTGGGGCTCCCCTTGGGCCCTCACAGCTGACCTTGAGCAAGATCTTCTCAGGAACCAGGGCAAGTCAGCTACTGTAATGAGACTCATGTGCCTTTGGGCCAGCCAGAGCTTTTTTAACTGGAGGGAACAGATAGGGCATTCTCTTAGAAAAGCAGTTAGGGTTCTAGACGTTTATTGTAGAGATGTTTCTATAAGAGGTAGATGGCCGATAGTCTGTGCTCTAAAAGAATATTCTCCTGCCAAGAACAGAAAATCTAACTCTAATTTTGAGGATTTAACATACATTTATTGTAAGGTTTAAGATCTATTGATTATAATTACTAAGTTACCAATTAAGATATTTGGCACATTTAAAATGCCTTTTTAATCAAGTAAAAAACTAATTTGATTGCCTTGTGTACACAGTTGTCAGTCATTCAGGGTTATTTCCATAGAAACGAATTATGATTAGTATCTTGGTCAGTGTAGTGACTATATTCTTTACAAAAATCTACAGAAAAGAAGGCCAAGCTACATTTGAACCCATAATCTGGAAATGAACACTGTGCTGGAGGTGACTCATACCACATCTGCCCTTCACACATGTCCTAAAAAGAAAGCCTTAGAATCTTCATGTGTAGATGGGGCTATGTTCACCAGCTTCTCAATATTACAGCAGGATACCTGGAATAAGTAATATATAGAGAAAAGGTTGACGTAGGCTTACAGTTTGGAGGTTCCAGTCTGTGATGGCAGAACCATTATTTTTAAATGAATGTGACATTTGGTAGTAAAGGGGAGCATGTGACACAGCAATATGGCCCTTTTATCACTAAGAAGCAAAAGAGGAAGAAGAGGGTAGCTTCCTACAGTCCCCTGAAAGTATACTCCCCTAAGGACTTAACTTCCTACTACATGGCATATCACTCACTGCCCAGTGTCATCCCCTGAGAATCAGGCCCATGGAAAGCATCAAACATCCAGTTCACACTGTAGCAAGGATCAAAGAGGTTAAACCTCAGACCAAAGGGCAACCTTGTGATTCAACCGGGGCTCTAACTTCAGGCCTCTCTTACCTTGGCACCACTTGATTTCTCTACAGCAAAGGAGTGATACATGCAACAGAAAATTGGCTGTGGAAATTTGTGCAGTGAAGAAACTGGAATGGGAGGGTTAAGAGAAGTAGGGACATCTAGTTTGATATGAGAATGACTTCATATATTTAAGAAAGGAAAGAAAGAGACTCCGAAGTTAAGAACTGTAAGAGTATGCACATTGGAAGAAGGGAGCAGGTATGGTGGTTGCAGTGGTCCAAAAAAATGCAAAGCTTCTTATTTTTCCCAAACCTCTGAGGTGTCTACTGCCATTTATAGTTCCGGAGTAAAAGAATGTTCTGTGTACTGAGTTGTACAGGGAAAAACATATGCAAAGGACCACATGGTTGGCAAGTATCCTCCCCTCTCTGGTCTTTCTTTTAAAGAACTAAGTTCTTGTTTCTTAGTTCTTTAAAAACAAAAAAGTTGCTTTAAAATTAAATCCATTCTTGAAGGTGTGACAGAAAGCCTGAAACTACTTTTAATTGTATTTCGTTGTCCTTGGGAAAGTCTTCCTCTTTGTCAGTGGAGGAGACACCACTGTTTCTATGCTTGGTCTTTATACTCTCCAAGCATCACTATCTTGAAATGCTTATGTATTAATTGTCAACTTGCCAGAATCTACAATCACCTGGCAGGTGGGCATCTGGGCATGCCTGTAAGGGGTTTTCTTCATGAGGATAATTGATGTGAGAAGACCCATCCTAATTGTCAGACCATTCCCTGGGCAGGGGATACTGGAGGATATAAAATAGAGAAGGTGAGCTGAGCAATAAAATGTATTCATAGCTGTCTGTTCTTGATTGTAGATGCTATGTGACAAACTATTTCAAGCCCTGCCTCCTGGACTCCTCCACTATGATAGACAGAATAAGTCCTTCTTCCTTAAGTTGCTTTTGTTAGAATATTTTATCAAAACCACAGTTAAAAAAAAAAGAACTAAGACAATAGGTCTAACTCTGTAGGATACATTCAAAGCCACATTTTCATTTCATAGACAAACAAGTTTTCTTATGACGGTCAGCACAGCAACCTTCTTTAGAGAAGAAGCCTCGTTAGGTGACTGATCTTTTAATGATGCCCCTTCAGGCATCAGGTCCTACTGACCCTACTCTGAGGCAGTCTGTGCTGTGACCATCCTTCCTTCCCAGAAAACTCTGTTACTGACTTAGCGCTGTGCCTGTTTCTGGCGTTAGCCTGAATTCTCAAGCCAGCCCAGTAATCCATTGGAAACTTTTATTGTCTCATTTCCCTTCTCCTGCCTTGTTCAACAGAGTTACCTATGTGTTGATAAGTTTAAATTACAGAGTCACCACTTACCTAACATCTCCAGTCTTTTCAGTGTCTGTAACTCTTCTCTGCATGCCTGGCTCACTGCAGTTTAGGGTTGGGTTCTTGCATGTGTGTTGGTGGGGGGTGTACGTCCACACCAGTACATGTACTTGTTGCTTTATTATCAGAATTCACGAATGTTTAACCATTCAGCAAATCTGTAACTCATATAACAAAAGTCTTTACAACTTAACAGAAAACGTGGTTCTTAGTCAGCGGTCTGTCTAAAGCGAGTATCTGAGACGGGCTCCTTATGAAGTGGGGGGAGTCTGTTTAGCTCATGGTTTTAGACCAGAGGCACCGGTGCCTGTGTCAAATCCAGGCTGTAGCACCGTCAACAAATGGTGTTGAAATTAGGACTTTCTTTAAGCATCTGTGTACTTTGTCTCAAATTATATGATAAAATCATTTCAAAACTTTACATTAAGACTACAAACATTGACTCAAAAATATCAGTGAATGTAGAGAAGCAAGCATGACTTTCTTCTCATTCTGTAAATTTGGTTAAAATCATAGCAACTTTTGAATCCTCCAGTATCACAGAGTCCTATGAGCTTATCAGCTGCTGAAGTGGATGGAAGCAGTTTGCATTTGTAGCTCAGAAGCCCTTCTCGAAATGGAAACTTGGTTCAGCAGTACAGAATGAGAGTTGACGTCAGTTCTTAAATGGCCATACTAGAGTGGCATCTTAGTGGACCTAATATAGAAAGCACAACTGGGGGCGATAACATTATTTCCTCTGGAAATCATGGAGACCTCTGACAGCACAGAGAGCTGCAGGTAGAGCTTGAGCTTGAGTCAGGCCCTCTTTGTGAGGAAAGTTCCGTTTCGGATTTCGCTCCCTGGGGAAGGCTTCTTAGCCCTGCATTTATATCTGCCCAAGGGAGCATTCTTTGTGCTCTGAGACCTTGAGAGGGTGCATGCTAGTCCTTTTGTCTGTGAGTACATAACAAGTACTGATCACGACCCATCTGACAGTGTAGTTCATTTCTTCTGCAGTATTCTGGGAGATGATAAACACATTACAAG